TACCCCAGCCAGGTAACATTTACAAGAATAAGGGTGAAGTATGAATACAGACGAATTTATCATTCCAAAATAAATTTATTGATATGCATTGATTAAGTTCGTAAAGTTAAGAATAAACATTGTATGATTGTTCATAGGGTTAAAGTAACTAATATATATAACACAGAGTTAAGTTATAAGAAAAGAACAAAGGACGTCGAGCTGTGGTGGAGGAAAGTCACAATAGTAGAAACAAGGAAAGTAGATATGTATACACATGCTTAGTAATGAAATAGATATAACATAGAACGTACTGTTAAAAATAGAAACTTATAATTGATTGTAATATTTCATACTTTATATTCTGTATATTCTAAAATAAAAAATAGCATTAAGTTCTAAACAAAAGTTATAAGAATTCTAATGTCTCAAATATAGAATATTCATAAATGCATACATATCTAAATATATAAACCATGTGTCTGAAATAGTACAGGAGAGCAGTCCTGAAGCCATTTTGACTCTCCCAATGACCTCAAATATTCCTCTGCCCTAAGGAAGGCAAATGGAGAAAGCCTTCCCATTGTCCTTTCGCTTATAAATCCTGTCTTAAGAGCATATTTGTACATGAATAGGGTGAGCCCATGACCTGGATTCAGGAGCTAAAGTATTAACCATCACAAAAGAATGGCCAGGCTGCCCACGTAACGCAAACCACAACCATTATCAGGTATCCTGGCAGACAGGATTTCTGCTGTAGTAGACCGCCTCCTATGATGTATGTATGATTTTGGGGTGGTCTTTGGCTAAGGGGGTTGGGCAGTGTCAAAAGTCTTTAAATGTTCCTGCACACTTTTGTTCAGGGTCTCTCCGTCCTTGGAAGGAGGGGAGGGAATTCTCTTGCAATAAATAAATAAAATATCTGCCTTGCTTCCCATTGGATCCTGCCTCCATCCATTCTCTGACCGATCAAAAGCCAAACCCCAATTTTTACATCACTAGTAACAACAGTGACACTTACAAGGAGGTCCTCACATTCCTTTTTTCACGTCTTCTTGATAGGCCAGAATTCTTTCTCTCTCTCTCCTCAGAATCTCCAGGCGTCTACACATCAGTCCCTAAAAACAAACAAACCCAAAAGCTCCGGTTTGAATCAGAGAAGCAGAAGTGTTGATTGTTTATTTATTTTATTTATCACACTGATATACCATTATCTTCCAAGAATCTCAAGGTGGTATCCATGGTTCTCTTCCTCCCCAATTTCATCCGCACAACAACCCTGTTGTGGCTAAGAGATGGTGACTGGCCAAGGTCACCCAGCGAACTTCATGGCTGAGTGGGGATTTGAACCCTGTCCTCCCAGGCCAGGCGTAGGCGAACTCGGCCCTCCAGATGTTTGGGGACTACAATTCCCATCATCCCTGACCACTGGTCCTGTTAGCTAGGGATCATGGGAGTTGTAGTCCCAAAACATCCAGAGGGCCAAATTTGCCTATGCCTGTCCCAGGCTCTAGTGTAACACTCTAACCATTACACCACACAGTTAAGCTGACCTCTTGGTGGCCTTGCTATTAGCTCTTTATCACATAAAATGCTCTGGAACATTCTAGATTTTTTTTCGAATTTAATTCATCTTATTGAGAATAAGCAGTGGTTAATGATTTTTAAAATTTATTTTTGATATATTATTATAGAAATGGTGTAGAAACTTGCATAAAATCAGTATTTATTCAGGGGCATGGACAGCCCTGTGTTTTTATAAGCAAAAATAATAATCAACGTTACAAAAGGTAGGAGCAGTGTGCACGTTGTATTTTCCAACTAAGCTGAGAGAAGGTGATGGAGAAAAATAAAAGCAGCAAAACACATATTGAAAGCCAAATTTTGCAATTGGGTGGGGGGGGGGGAAGAGTTTTGTATATCTGAATTTGACACAAAATTGAAGTCCCTCCATCCCCTGTAACCTAAGAGTTACAGAAAAGCTCCCAAGAAGAATCCAAAAAACCCAAAATCCAGAATAATTTCCTACCTTGTACTCCTTGGAAGCCTCTTTCAGAGGAATCGTCTCGTGACACACGTGCTCTTTGGATCTGTCGCACACAAGACAAATGGGGGCTCCGTCCTCCTTGCAGAAGAGTTTCAGGGGCTCCTGGTGCTTCTCACAAACCTTTTCTTTTCCTCCTTCCTCCTTCCCCTCTTGAAGACTGAGCTTCTTGGCTATATCTACCACGTTTTGCAACGGCCAGTTTGGGATGAGGCGCCTTTCCTGAACCGTTTCTCTGCAGTGAGGGCAGAAAGCCTCTGCCTCCGATTCCCCCCAGGACTGGATCAAGCAGGACCGGCAGAAGTTGTGCCCACATTCTGGGATCATCACCGGATCCTTGAAATAATCCAGGCAGATGGAGCAAGTGGCTTCATCGCAAAGACTCTGCACGGGACTACCTCCTGCAGCAGCAGCAGCAGCAGCCATGGCTCCCTCGCGCCAAAAAGGAAGCAAACTTCCACTTTCGCGGTTTTCAGCCAATGGGCGTTTCCCTTCCTGCAGGATCTCGGTGTTGATGGGACTTTTTTAAAAGAAGAAGCAGACACGCCTCTGCAGCTGCTTAATGTTTTCTCAAATAGCCTTGATTGCTTCGTCATTGCCGTGATTGCTTCTCTCTCCCTCCCCCCCTTCATTAGAACTATATAGACCAGGGGTCTGCAACCTTTAAGACAAAAAGAGCCACTTGGACCCATTTCCGAAGGGGAAAAAAACCTGGGAGCCGCAAAACCATTGCGACATTTAAAGCATGCACGCCGCTGCCCTCCGATCTGACAGTGGGCGGGAAGGTGATGTCAGGATGGTGCGTGACTAACGCACGCACTGCCCCCATGCGACGTCACAGCCAGTACAGCGCCTGCCACAGTGGGGAGTGTCGGGGCGCACAATGCGCCTCCTCCCCTCGCTAGTATCCGTCCCGGAGCCGCGGCAAAGGTGTAAAAGAGCCACATGCGGCTCCGGAGCCGCGGGTTGCAGACCCCTGATATAGACACATAGATTTATACATATCGTTGTGCATTGTCCTGAAATAATAAATGCTTTTATAAATAACTAAACTAAACTAAATCCTTGTCATTGTGGAGAAACAGCCTCTGCTTCACGGCAATCCACTTCCCCGAGGGCAGAGCTGTGTAGCAGTCAGTCCAACCAGTCCAAGAATCTCTATCTTTTATAATTTTTATTTATGCTTTTCAAATTTCTACATTAATTTTACAATCATTTTAATTAACATTTCCCAATTTGACTTCCTTCCCCCTTTCTGCGGTTCCATATCTTTCTTTCTTTTTAATATCTTCTGCATATCCAAATTCACTTAATTTACTCCTTTTAAAAATATCTACTTTAAATATATACTCTTATAAAACTGCAGGCCATTACAATCAACCTGCCAATGTTTTTACTGTTTACAATTTTATCTGTACATACTCCACCATTTCCATTCTTTTATAAAAAGCTTGTTGCCTTGATTTTTTATTCTCCTGGTAAGTTTAGCCATTTCTGCATATTCCATAAGTTTTTGTATCCATTCTTCTTTCGCTGGGACTACTTCCATTTTTGGGCAAGTAACATTCTTGCTGATGTAGTAGCATACATTAATAAGTTTTATGTACTGTTTAGGTTGTTTGTACTGATGTTAGGTAACCCAACATCATGTGATGTTTTCAAGCTAGCAGCTCGCAGCTGCATTACCCAAGAGAAAAGCTTCTGGTTCCCCCCCCCGCAGGTTTTTTAATCATCTTTTTCAATTCATTATATATCATTTCCCAGTAAGCTTTATCCTTACTACAAGACATATGATAAAAAGAAACTTATTTCTCTTTACATTTCCACAGTCCAGGAACCTCTCTCAGCCAGCAGGGCATCTCTCTGACGCCCACAGGTTTTCTCTTCTAGACCAGGCAGAGATCCATGTTGCTTTCCCTCGGATCTCATAGTGAGTGACACAAGGAGAGCCAGCCCAACTCAAGCATCAAAGACAACCTTGGGAGCAGTGGAAAGGAAATGGGGGAGGAGAGAAACAGTGTTCAAAATCGAAACTATTTTGCAAAAAAAAAAACACAGAAAAGGGGAAGCATCACTTCCTCTCATTTGCAATGAATTCATGGTGGATGCCGTTGCTCTGCAGTCCAAGGTCAGTACATTTCTAGCTTAAATTGTGGGAAATGGCTGCATCCAACTTAACATGTTGGGAGTGGGCCTGCTCTGAATCACACCAGCCAGGACCAGACCCCAGGAAACCCCTCCTCATTTCCTGCCTTGGGTTGGGAGGAGATCAGCAGCCTCTCCTGTTCACTGAGAGGCCGCTGCAGAGGAGGCACTGGGATGGGGGGGCTGTCGAGGAGGTACCAGATCCGACCTCCAAGGATGTACCGCAATCATGCATTCCTTGGAGGCCAGATTTGCTGCCCCATGGATCCTGCCACCAGAGGCAGTCACCTCACCTAATATAGATCTATTAACAGAGACTTTCTGTCTCATTTCTCCTGACAAAGAGAAGCTTTCACCAAAGCTGGGCTTTGTAAAATTTGACGATGTGCTTTGAAAAAGAGAAAAAGGGAAGCATGAAGTGTGTTTGCATTCTCACCCACCCAGTCAGACCTGCAGCTGAAAGGGCAGAGAGGAAATGGGTGTTACACTTGCAGGACACACCATCCTGCGGGGTGACTGTTGGCTTTTATGGCGTGAAGGCTGCCATAAACAGATTTTCCTGGCACACTTCCGGCCAGATTTTGAGCAGAGGTGAAATACAGTTTGCAGCTAAGAGTGAGGCAATCAGACCTGAGTCTGGATTGATGAGCAACACACAGTTGTCTAAGCAGATTGCTTTATTGCCTGTCATTTTGCTTAATGGTTGCTATTTACAGAGACTGCTGTGGATCCCCACAGCGGAAGATCTGCTTGCATCCTCTCAGCAGATCAAAACCAAAACTCTCTCTTACTCGCACTCACATAAAACACTGTGAACGTCCATGACTTTGCTGTCTGATCTTTGCACCTGTGTGAAGAATCCAGCTTCACAGCCAGAGTGTCATCTTGCATGAAGAAACTCAGGAAGACAGTTTTCTGAAAATGAATGACCCCGACAGTGACGGAAATCAAGCTCATCCAGGAGCGGAGTGTAAACTCTAGTTGTGGTTACATCTGTAACATAAAATAACCTGTGTCCCCTCAGAAATAAAGTGCGTGGGAACAGAAAGAAGTGACCAGGAGGAAGCAAAAACTTCAGAACCATCAGCCCAGATCCTTGCTCACAAGAGACGGCTAGTTGAGGGGTGAGTATGGCGCTGTGGGTTAAACCACAGAGCCTAGGGATTGCCAATCAGAAGGTTGGCGGTTCGAATCCCCGCGACGGGGTGAGCTCCTGTTGCTCGGTCCCTGTCCTGCCAACCTAGCAGTTCGAAAGCACGTCAAAGTGCAAGTAGATCAATAGGTACCACTCTGGCGGGAAGGTAAACGACGTTTCCATGCGCTGCTCTGGTTTGCCAGAAGCGGCTTAGTCATGCTGGCCACATGACCCGGAAGCTGTACGCCGGCTCCCTCGGCCAGTAAAGTGAGATGAGCGCTGCAACCCCAGAGTCGGCCACAACTGGACCTAATGGTCAGGGGCCCATTTACCTTTACCTATTTTACAATTGGACCCAAGTCTCTGTTTGAAGCAAAGGGCCAGGTTAGACGGGATGCTAAAAATGTCTCATGCTAGGAAATACTAGTCAGGGTTGGTGCAATGTTCGCTGGGACCAACCCTTTCCTTTCCTTCTCCAGCAGTCTTGATGAAAATCACTTCCTCCACAGATGCTGCCAGCCCCCTGGCAGTTTTCTGAGAGATTTGCGCGGTGCGTATATTAGTTCCATTTGAGTGTCAGGCAAAGGGTGGTCTTGGGCTACACCCCTTCTGTGATGTATGTATGATGTTTCTGGGGGTGGTCTTGAGCTACAGGGTAGGCAATTTCAAAGTCTATATAAGGGCTTGCACACCTTTGTCCTGGGTCCTCCTCCTCTCTTCTGCGTGTGGGGGAGCACACTGTTGCAACAGCTTTAATAAAGATCAGGCTTATAGCCGTTTGCTTTTGTATATCTTGGTCTGGTCTCTGTTCATTTTCCAGCCAGTTTGAGCCTTAAAGGTACGCTCTCTCCGAAGGTCCAGTCTTCCTTTAGAAGCTGAACCCCTTGAAGGGTCCTCTCAATATTCTTATTTCAGCCACAGTGAGCCACACTCACTCCCACAAGAGAGATTTGGAAATCTTTATTGCCCAGTGGTTTTTGCAGGTTTCTGCCCTGCTCAAGCTGCTTCTCTTTACTTTGTCATATTACAGCTTCCCTTTCTATCAACAAAGCCGCAAACTCTTCACCCACTATGGCCTCAGCACCACCATCCGAGGACATGGACCAGGACGCCTTGTGTCCCATCTGCAAGGACTACCTCACCGATCCAGTGACGTTGGACTGTGGACACAACTATTGTCAGGGCTGCGTCACCAATTATTGCAAGATACGGGAAGAACAGGCTATGGGGCACTTGGAGTGTCCCATCTGCAGAGCCCAAATGCAGAGAGGGAGTTTCCGCCCCAATTGGCAGCTGGCAAGTATAGTAGAAAAAATTAAACTCCTGCAGTTAAATAAAGGGGGAAAGGATATGTGTGTGAAACACAAGAAGTACCTTGAACTGTTCTGCAAAGAAGATGAAAAATTGGTTTGTGTGGCTTGTGAACGATCCCCAGAACACAAATCGCACACTGTGGTGCTTGAGGAAGAGGCTGCCCAGGAATACAAGGTAGGAAGTTATCTTGACACTTAGTAATGCAATCCTTTCAATTTTTTGTGAAATATTGCAATGTGGCTGGAAAGCAATTCCCGTGGCAATTAGATATGTTATTATGTACGGTTAAACAGCCTGGAAACACACAGAACAACTGTAAGTTTTAAGGAGAACCCCACCACCAATAAAATATAAAATGCTGTAAAATATTAAAATCCTTAATCCTGAGCTAGGTTGAAGTGATGGACATGAGGCAGGAGTTGATAAAGCAGGTGAGCTGCGCACAGGTGAGCTGCATGCAAGCTGCTGGCCAGCCCTGTGGAGCTTCCTTTTATTGAGACAAATATGCAAACCAGGCAGATACATTTTGGGCTGTGACCTTTACACATCTTCCGGTCCTGAGATCATGGGGTGGTACAAAGTTATTTTGGCACCTGTTTCCGCCGCGTCATTTTCCCCTTGCACAGTGTATGACGAAGGAGACAAAAGGTCTCAGAGACAAAGGTTACAGACAGGACACTGCAGTCTACTGAGACCACAAAAGGTTAGACAGTGGCAACGATGTTCAGACAGCCGTGGCTTTGTCTGTGAGGGGGGTGTGTGCTCCGCACCCCAAGGTCACGCGTGCAGGCAGGCTGAGGCTGCCTGCGGGTGGGGAGTGTGCTCCCTCCGGACCCCACTCCCCACTCCGCGATCATCCCTACACTAGGTGACAATGTTTTTAAAAAAGAAAGAAAGAAAAATGTGCTACTAAAGAGTCAGGTACCAGCCACCAGCTGACGCGGAGAGAAGACAGCACTCAAATTTCTTAAAAATACAAAACTATATGCTGGATGCAGATGTGTTAGTAAACAATCTTATTATGATTAGCAGTGAGGCCATTGGCATTTAATCCAGGACTTTCCAAAAGCTAACACATGCTGGATGAAACCTCCGAAACCTCAAGTTTCATATCCTTCCAGATCAAGCATCATAATATAAGGAGAGCCAGGCTGGGTCAGGTCAAAGGCCCATCTAGACCAGCATCCTCTTATCACAGTGGTCAGACAGCCAGGTAACCCTTCTGGGAAGCCATTGAGCACAACAGCACTGCCCCCTCCTGAGGTTTCCAGTATTCAAAAGCAAATACTCTACCACACTGGAGAGTCACTGGTGTATTTACTTCTGACCCTTCAAATGAAAACCTTTTCTCCACAACATAGCAGCAACTGGGGATCAGGGGTTAGATCAGGGTGAGGAGACACAGTTCTTAGTTCTCATTAAAAAGTGTGCTTTTATGGTGCTGGAGGAGACTCTTGAGAGTCCCATGGACCGCAGGAAGATCAAACCTCTCCATTCTTAAGGAAATCAGCCCTGAGTGCTCACTGGAAGGACAGATCATGAAGCTGAGGCTCCAATACTTTGGCCCCCTCATGAGAAGAGAAGACTCCCTGGAAAAGACCCTGATGTTGGGAAAGATGGAGGGCACAAAGAGAAGGGGACAACAGAGGACGAGATGGTTGGGCAGTGTTCTCGAAGCTACCAGCATGAGTTTGACCAAACTGTGGGAGGCAGTGGAAGACAGGAGGGCCTGGTGTGCTCTGGTCCATGGGGTCACGAAGAGTCGGACACGACTAAAGAACTAAACAACAACAAGAGCCTTTGCAGATGCTACTCTCAGTCGCAATCACAATCTGAGCTTTCGTTTCCTCTTTAGGGACTGATCTGCAGCCATCTGGAGATTCTGAGAAAAGAGAGAGAAACAATTCTGGCCTATCAAGCTGACACGGAAAAAGAAAGCCAAGATCTCCTTGTAAGTGTCACTAGGAGTAGTTATTATTTTTTTAAAGTCCTCATGAAAATCAATCAGCATCTTAGTGCAATTTCTGCTAACATATTTTAAACAACTATATATAGCTTTATAAAGAGTTATATAATTATATAACTTTTTGTAGACATCTGAAGGCAGCTTTTCATGTTTGATGTGGTCTCCCCCCGACCCCCGTATTTTTGCTGGAAGCCACACAGAGTGTCAGTCAGATGGGTGGGGTATAAGAAAATAGCAGCAGCAGCAGCAGCAGTAGTAGTAGTAGTAGTATGCAATTTTGCCTAGTGTACACATTTTTTGCAAAGCAATTTCCCATAATATTATTCCTTTTTCTATGCCTTAATAAATGCATTTTAATGCACACTTTACCTTAGTATGTGCATTTCTGTAGTTATTACTTGGCCAAAGAACTGCATTTCAAAATTCAAAGAAATGTGAATTTCAAAAGATTGTGGAGTTTCTCTCTGCATGTTTTTCCCCAGAAACTGCTAATGAGGTAATTTTGCATTTGAAGCCAAGCTGAACTGAATCTCTTTCCCATGTGGCAGCTCAGATCCACAGAACATAAATTAGTTGCAACCTTCTGATTAGCCTTATTGATTCTAAAAGAAATGTCTTTCTAAATGTGCACTATCTTTAATCTTTAGGAAGCTCAAGTCGACTCAAGACTTTAAAGTAAACAGAGCAGTGCTGGGGATGTACAGGCTAGATCCCCCCCGCTTCTCCTCTGTTTCTAGTAATTTACTAGTCATGAAAGAAAGGTAAAGGTAAAGGACCCCTGGACAGTTAAGTCCAGTCAAAGGCGACTATGGGGTTTGGGCACTCATCTCACTTTCAGGCCGAGGGAGCCGGCGTTTGTCCACAGACAGTTTTCCGGGTCATGTGGCCAGCATGAGTAAACCGCTTCTGGTGGAATGGGACACCGTGACAGAAACCAGAGCATACGAAAATGTCGTTTACCTTCCTGCCACAGTGGTACCTATTTATCTACTTGCACTGGTGTGCTTTTGAACTGCTAGGTTGGCAGGAGCTGGGACAGAGCAACGGGAGCTCACCCTGTTGCACGGAACTTCTGATTGGCAACCCCAAGAGGCTTAGTAGCCAGTGTGAAGTGAGGACTGTTTTATGTTCATGGAAACTCTCTGAACAACGTAGAAAGCAAATTATGCCAAGTTCAGAACTGTACCAGGAACGTCCATAGATAGAAAAAAACCTCATTGCTTCCACAAGGTGGATGGCAACAGAAATGGCAAGGGATAGGGCAGAGCTAGTGTGTTCAACCCTGCTACCTCCCTACTGTGTTTACTTTAAAACCTGAAGAAGAGGACTTCCTTATCAACTGAGGGCTTGTCCACACTTCCACTTGTCCTGAGCCTAGAAAGCATGAGTCCAAGCAGGTTTCCCCTTGCCCCACACCTTCCCAGTGAAAACTGCTGCTTGCTGCTAAATTGAAGCAAATGTCCAGAGAAAACCCAAATTTAATAGGAAATGTGGATAAGCCCTGAGCACTGGTTTCATGTCTTTGAAAAAAGCAAGTGTCCTCCCAGTGGAATTTTCATAACTCTCCTCCTGATGTTGTAAAGACTGAGACCATATCCCAGACTCTTATTCTCTTTCTTCCTTCTTCTTGCAGAAATTAACAGAAACCGAGAGGCAGAAGATAGTGGAGAAGTTCAGAAAACTGTACCGGTTTCTTGAAGAACAAGAAGTACACCTGCTGAATCAGATTGAAGAAGTGGAGAAGGAGATTGAAGGGAGAAGAGATGAGCAGCTGGCCAGACTCTCCAGGGAACTCTCCTCTCTTGAGAGGATCATCCAGGAGATGGAGGAGAAGAGTCAGCAGGCAGTGAGTGAACTCCTGCAGGTAAGACGGTGGCATGAACAGCACAAGGCTCAACTTGGGGACGAGGCTTTCTCCAAACCTTTATGTCCCTCTTGCATCTATACAAGTAGTAAAGAGACTCAGCTGATGGAGGCAGATGCACCTCCCTGGGGAAGACCTTCCACAACTAGGGAACCAGCACTAAAAAGACCCTGTCACAGGGCAGTGCCAACGGAGCATGCCAAGTACTAAGGGGGAAATGAAACTTATACCCATGAAGCTTTAACATTTTGTAATACATTCCTCGCCCCCCCCCCCATTCAGCCAGAATCATACACATCACATTCTGTCCTTCGTGTTGCCAGGCTCAGGCTCATTTTGCTTTGCAAAGTACATCAACAGCTTTAATTAACAAAAGTAACATTCTTATTCCACGCAGATGCTTTCTCATATCCAGTTGCAACCCATATTCTCCATTCTAGAGTCTTATCCACAGGTCTGGGATAAGAAGAGAGTAGTCCCTGGGGAACCTTTGCAATAACACAGCTCTGTCCTTTCCCTTTAATCAAACAACTTTGCAAGTGCATGCAACAAAGTTACTCCATCTTTTTGACCTTCACGCCACATTCAATCAATCTCCTGCAGCTTTGCTGACATCTTGTCAACAAGGGTGCCCCTTCACTTTGATCCAATTGTCCAAATTTAAGGGGAATCTGCAGCGTTAAGCAGTTGTAGATTGAGGATATCTCATGATGGAGTCTCGGAGCCCAGAGCCCTGCCTCATCAGCCACCAAACGATTTCCACCCCTGTCACCAGCTTGGGCATGAAAGGGCTTCTGCACCTCCGTTACATTGTAAGGGTCAAGGGGGCTCACTCCCCCCTCCCCAACCACAAACATTTTTGTGTGATAGGCAGACTGACACCAGAGGGCCAGAGTCCATCCATCCCAGGGCTGAAGGGGTTTCATCATGTGGCCTGTGATGTGCAGTGAATTCCTTTCTCTTTCCCCCTCTAGGATGTGAGAAGCACCTTGCAGAGGTGAGTGGACCTGCTCATTTCCGTTAGCATCACTCCGTAAGTGTCAGGAAACTGCCATCAGCTCAGAGGCAAGTTTTTAGGGAAGTTTTTAACGTGTGATATTTTAGTGTATTTTTGGTTTCTATGGAAGCCGCCCAGAGTGGCTGGGGAGGCCCAGCCAGATGGGCGGGGTATAAATAATAAATTGTTGTTGTTGTTGTTGTTGTTATAGAGGCGAGAGGTGGAAGGGCAGCTGGGTTACAGGGAGCCTCCAGAGATCATGGGAAGCAGCACTTCCTCTGTGGAGGAGGGAAGCCCTGCCTCTAGTGGGGAAGAGATGCAGGGCTCGGAGGATGCAAGAGGGAGCCAAGACACCTGTGCCTGAGCAAAGTGGGGAGGAGGGAGGGCCCCCTTTACCCACGCCCTCTCTGCACAGTAGGTTTACGCACAGAGAGGGGAGGCGTTGGATGGGGGTCAAGAGACTACTCTGCTGGGGAATGTTTAAGGACCGCCCACTCTCAGATTCTGCTAGTGACTGAGCAAGACATGGAATTGAGACGTTCTGCACTGTAAATGTTTTTGCACCAATAATAAAGCCTTTGAAAAGACCAGTGGGGATCTTGCCTGTTCGCTCTCAAGCAACCACGCCAGTAGGCATAACAGTAAGGCTGGGGAAAGTCCAGAAGGACAAAAAACTTGGCCCTCCAGGCTCCCAACAAAGAGACAGTAGGACTCCACCCTCTGTATCATTTCACTGGCGCACATAGGAGCCTCTCTTTTGAACTTGTAGCACTCCTATTCTCAACCCAAGAATCAGGACCAAAACACTGCTTCCTCCCTCCCCCAACCACACATTGCTGGAGGCTCCTGTTGGATGTTGTATTCATTGCCTTGCTCTTCAAAAGCCATAAGGAAGGCAAAGTTGGATTTTGTTTTCAGCAATGGAACAAAGGCCTCAGGCAGCAGGTGCTCGAGTGAGTGGTTCCCATCTTCCTGAGCCAGCACCTCAGAAGTGGGAAGGCTTAATTCTGGTTGGCCTGGGCTGCCTGCCTGTCTCACGTCGTCACCTTCTCCCCACCTGCAATGTGTCATAACCAAGGACACTGGGAACAGCCACTGACTGAAGGAATAGGCACCTCAGAGGCATACCCTTGACCACACCAGGTATGGAGAGGGCCCATGAACTGCTCTGCTTCCATGACAGACCCTGACTACCAGTGCCTCGGCATGGCAGCATTTGCCTGAGAGGGCAGGAAGCCGTTTCTCATGAGGGCTTTTACACCTGCTATACTTAAAACTCTTTCACTGAAGACTCTTGTGGGGGAGATGGAACAAGGCTTGGAGACACACCAGGGTCTCTGTGGGCGAGGGTCCTGGAGGATGCCCCTCAGTTTCTCCTCTGTTACCCCTTGCACAGAGCTCCTTGGAATTCCTCCCCTACTGGAAAATCTGATTTGGTTGTACATCTGTGGAAGAACTACCTCAGCCTCTGAGACCATCTGGTGCTAGAGCAAAAGTAATCTAAGTTGCCCAGCCATGATACCAGCAGCCTCAAGAAACAAATATTTTAACCTTGCTCAAGTCTTGCTAAGAAAGTGGCTACTCTATACTTCCACACAACAGGAGACAGTTACATTCTTTGGAGCAACCAGTGTTTAAGTTGTTCCTCTCAAGATATACCAGTTCAGTCACACTCCAGCAAACTCCCATGTACCACTCAAGTTCAGATTAAAGGTCACAGCAGCCATCTTTTTCTTCTCCACACCTTCACTGGTGACATCTAGAGAAAGGAAATGTGTGTTGTAATGTCATCGCACTCAGGATAATTCATGCCGCTTTCTTGTGGAAATCAATGAAGTGAAGTTGGGGCAGAGAAACTGAGTATTACAATATTACCTGATGGTATTGAATAGATGTATGTGGCCTGGGGTAGCTATTCTGGCCCTCCAGTGTCTGGCTGTGAAGTCTCTAGTGAGGGGAAATCTCTTCCTCTGTTCCTGTCTGTCCCTCTAGGCTTTCTACCATTTTCTTCCTCCTCTTTTTTCTTTTCTTTTACTGGAATTATGGCTTTGAAAGTTTAACGTTTTTTTTTCATCAGGTATGAGAGAAGAGAGAGACTGCAGAATCTACTGGCTTTCCCTCTAAAGCTAAAATGGAAGACCTCCAGATTTTGTGATGTGAATCTCCATCTGGAGGACGTGATAAAGCAGTTCAAAGGTATTGAGGAATGGCTGCAAGGAGTTTATGCTCAGCATTATATTAGACCAACATAGAGCTTGCCAGGCACTTACTGTATTGTATTTTGCTCTTGCTGTAGACAGGGGTAGGACCATCATACTCGTGGTCAGGCATCCCCAAACTCGGCCCTCCAGATGTTTTGGGACTACAATTCCCATCATCCCTGACCACTGGTCCTGTTAGCTAGGGATGATGGGAGTTGTAGTCCTAAAACATCTGGAGGACTGAGTTTGGGGGTGCCTGCTCTTGGTGGTCCAGCCATCATTGGATTTTCCTCAGAAAAAAATTATGGGGTATGAGAAATTGTGACTGCCTTCAAATAAAGAAAACCCACACTAGGCTAGATATGAAGGCAGGATTCCCCCCCGCCCTCTATTGTGCATCTGTTTACAATTCTTTTTGAATGAGAGCTCTGCCAGTCCTTCCTCAGCAAGCTTAGTTTCTCATGGTGTTTAACAATTCTGACTTTAATAATGTCCACCACCACTAAGGCTGCCTCCATCTCCCCCCTGCATCCTGTTATAGGATTGCTATTGCTTGGGCTACCCTCTGCTATGGACCCCAATTTCAGGGAGAACATTCATAGACAATCAGATTTAATGTGGGATATTTTTATTCTGCTGTTTTGAAGTCTTGTTTACCATTGCTGAGTTTTACAGTTTTCTTCTTAAGTTGTTAATCTTTTGTTCTACCACTTAAAATAAGGATACAACAGATTCTGTGCTGCTTTTCTATCAATACTTTATTGAGGTATAACAGTGCAATGTTTAAACTTGATATATTTCTTCTTCTTCAGATGCTGTGTTATTCAAACTACAGTTTCAGAAAGGTAAATTTCCAATGGTGACCCAAATGCACAGGAGGAAGGGGCACTGGTATTTCTTTGGGGTTAGATAATCTTTTCTTTAGACTTTGGAACCATCAATAGGTTAATAGCCTTATAGTGGCATTTGAGTTATTCATATGTACATTGAATGACCAGAGGATGGGTTTGTTTGTTTTTTACTTTACTTTACTTTATTTTTACACTGCTTGATTGTAAAAAAAAAACCCATCTGAAACCTAGCGTGGAAATTGCCTTTTTCTGTTGCACACTGGGTCAACATCTTCATCAAGCTATTTAATATGAGCCCAAAGTTTCATGCATCACTTTCATTGAATTGCATTTGCCATTTTATCACCCATTCACTCAGTTTCTGGAGCTCTTCAGTGTCTCTTTTTTGGTTCAATACAGTCATCATAACTAAAATCAGGGAGCAGCAGCATCTAAAGTTACAGTCATCACAATAAAATGTCTTCAGCTCCTTTTTGCAATCTTTTTGCAGTCACAACTTTGCATTCTGTCCCTGTGCAGAGTTTCATTCAGGATGATATTTGCTGGGTGCTCCACCTCTACCCTGTATGGAAATATGCTATGTACTGAGAGCAAAATCATGCATTTGCTCTTATACATATATGTTCATGGTTTACCAATTATGATTATTATTTATACAAATATTGAAGAATAGTTTCCAAACTGCTCTAGGGATGGGAGGAGGAGGAGGATATGTGTGTGATGATATTGGCACTAGCCAATAGGCACCCACCACAGCCAAGTTTCACTAGATAAGCTACAAACTGGCAGATCCAGTTTAGGCACATCTTGTTTCAAGGCATGCGGAAATATAAATGCAGGTGTGCTTTCAGTACAATATCTGAGCTTTAAAACAACAACTGTCGAACCCAGGGAAACTTTGGCAGGCTTCAGGATAGCAAATGTGCACATAAGAAAACAACATGGAAGGAAAGTTCAGAAGTTCACAAGGCAAGAAAATCTTCTTGGTTGCTTAATTTTGCTTCTTTCCCAGATTGAAATGTGACCCTTGAGCCAGAATTAGTCATACCTCCAACTGAAGCAGAAATAGGTACAGTGGTACCTTGGTTCTTGAACGGCTTAGTTGCTGAACAAATTGGCTCCCGAAAACTACAAACTCGGAAGTAAGTGTTCCAGTTTGCGAACATTTTTTGGCAGCTGGACATCTGACGCAGCTTCCACTTGAGTGCAGGAAGCTTCTGCAGTGAATCAGAAGCCGCGCCTTGGTTTTCAAATGGTTTCGGGAGTCGAATGGACTCCCAGAATGGATTACGTTCGAGAACCAAAGTACCACTGTAATGGGTTTGCCCTGATACACTCCCCAACTGTAACCTTAGTGAGGGCATTAAAGATTCTGTGGTGGTTCTCTCTGTTGTGTATTGAGTCAAAGGATTTTATATCTGTATTATTAGTGTCTGTATTTGCATTAGGGTAAAGTAACTGCCTTTTGGTTCCAGAGGGTACAGCTACTATTGGTTCATTTAACATAGGCGCCGACTCCATGGGGCTTGAGGGGGCTCGAGCCCCCTCAAAAAATTTTTTGGGGGGGCTCAGCCCCCCAATAATCTCGGGCGCCGGGGGCGGGGGCTCCTGCCTCGCTGCTTCGCAGCACCACCGCCACTGCCAAGGCACTGCCGGGGGGAATTTCCTTCCTCCTGGCGGTTTCAGCCCCCGCGAGAACAGGGGAATCCCGACTGGCCACACCTCCCAGCCAGCCAATCGGCTGGCTGGGGGGGCGTGGCTTGCCCTATTTAGGGCCGGAGTCACTTTATTTGCATATTCATGAGCTTATTTATTATTCATGAGCTTTCCCGGGCCCCCCCAATATTTTTTATAAGTCCGCGTCCCTGTCATTTAAGCTGCTGTATTTGGATCCTCTGTCTTATTGGTTTCCTCCAAAAGGCAGGACTGTGATTGCCTGATATTGTTCCCTCCAAAATGTATCCTTTCTAGCTAGTTCCCTGTCCCTATAAATGTAGCTCTTCCCTCCTCAGGTCTCAGTCTTGTTTGCTTTAATAAAGAAGTGTTACTAGAGAACTGTCTCCAGCATATTATGTCAAGAGAGCTGAAATCACAAACCCCATGTCACAACACTCTCCTTACCTAAACTGGGGTGCTCTCATTCCTCACATCCCTGAAGCCCCAAATGACCATTTCTCACAGAGAGTGTCAGATGAGGGCAAATTCCTTCCTCCCCTGCCCCTTCCAATCCCTTTCCCCTTCTCCTTCGCTTAGAGCTGAATAAAGGTTTACTGGGTGCTTTTGCTTCTTGGAAGATGCCTGGATTGACAGCAGGGGCCCAATCCTGATTTAAAAGCCAACTTGGGTTACATACACTTCAGGTTACGCCTCGGGTTAAGAACTTTGCTTACGCCTCGGGTTAAGAACTTTGCTTCAGGATGAGAACAGAAATTGTGCTCTGGCAGTGCGGTGGCAGCAGGAGGCCCTATTAGCTAAAGTGGTGCTTCAGGTTAAGAACAGTTTCAGGTTAAGAACAGACCTCCGGAACGAATTAAGTACTTAACCTGAGGTACCCCTGTATATTTATTTTGATAAGAGCCTGGAAGAAGGGGGGAGGGTCTCAATCCTGCAAGTGATGCAAAGAGGTGCCATTTCTTTGAGAGGGGTTTATTAGATCAGGATGCCCTCTCTGACTCTCGGCTGATTCTGCCTCTCTTCTCTTTCCCTTATCTTCCCTCAACAGCAAATGTCACGCTGGATCCAGACACAGCCCATGCCAGGCTCATCCTGTCCGAGGATGGGAAAAGCGTGAGAAGGAGAGACAAAAAGCCACGCCTGCCTAACAATCCTGAGAGGTTCAGCAACGGGCCTTGTGTGTTGGGACGTGAGGGATTCACAGCAGGCAGACATTTCTGGGAAGTCACTGTGGGAAGTGAGGGAGAATGGGTTGTGGGGATCGCCAGGGAGTCTGTGAGGAGAAAGGACAACTTTGCCTTTTGTCCTGAGGGAGGGATCTGGGCTGTGGAGAAGTGGGGAGGGAAGTACCTGGCCTGCACCTCCCCTGTTTCCCATCTCTCCCTGAGTGAGGAGCCCAGGAGGATCCGGGTAACTCTGGACTATGAAGGGGAATGTGTGTCTTTTTTTGACGCTGCCTCAGGAGCTGAACTCTACACATTCTCAGGAGGCTCTTTTTCCGGAGAAACCCTCCTCCCTTTCTTTTATCTGTGGGGAAATAAAACCCACCTCAGGATCTCCTGAAGAAACTAAATCTGCCGCACAGGCCCAGTTGAAGTTGGGGGTGATAGGAGTTGAAGTCCAGCATCATCGCAAGAGCCACAGACCTCTCTCCCCTCTCTAACCAAAGTGAGATACCTGAACAAAGAAACGACCTTTCGTTCCCCACTGTATGTATGAATGGAAAACCTAATGAGAACTTATTTAATTGGTCCCCCTGCAAAAAATACTCACACACCAGCAGCATTTTATTTAATGATAACAACAAATTATTGAGCGCTTGCCCTTATCACTGAGGTACTTTTTTCAAATTTCTCACATCACCCCAAAGAAAAAGTCCACATCTTCCTAGTGCATAATTTAGAAATGAAGCCTTGAACCCAAGTAGCAACCCTGAAATGAAAAAGCAGCTACATTCGTGGGTGGGGGACACCATGGCTTTTGTTGAGATGCCTGCCCTGTTCATGATCTGAGCTCCAGCCTCCAAGGCTTTGCTATTTCTTTAAAAATAGAAAAAAAATAATCATTGTGTTTTTCTCTCTTCCCTCAACACCCTGCTTCACGAACCTTTCTAGAAAGGAGAGCATCCCTAGGATGTAATTCCTAGTGTGGGTTTTTTGTTTTTGGATGCTTGCCGAAAGGAATGCAGAAGAGGGAAATCTATTTTCATAGGTTTGACCTTGGAAACTTTAGCCTAGGCACCTAGTGCACTTTACCACTTCAGACTGCAGCAAGGAAAATCCATTTTTTGAAACGTTCCTTTATGTTAAAAAAGGCCCTGCACATAGAAACCTAGTACAATAGAGAGCAAGCTTGGTCAGAATCATTCTTCCTGATGTGCTAGATTTTTACTTGCATGGAGGGTTCTCGTCTAAAATAAATTAAAACAAAGAATCAAAAAGGACATGCCCTACCTTCAATTTGCCCAGGACGAGGGTAGCGCTGTGGTCTAAACCACTGAACCTCTTGGGCTTGCCAACTGTAAGGTTGGCAGTTTGAGTCTTTTCACTGAGGGCATCCTTCCCATCCATGATAACTTCAACCTGGACCAATTTTTGAAATCTTTCTTTCTTTTTCAGGATAATCTTTATTGGTTTTTCTGTTACATACTACACATCCACATATTGTATTGCATTTTACATTTATACTTGCACCTAGGAGCTGACTTCCCTCCTTCCTTCTTGTGGCTTTTTTATATCGCCTCTAAATTTTTTGCATTGTCTTTATCTATTTTGTATATTGTTGTTCTTCTTCCACATTTGTCGATAAAGTGTCCGCAAAAAAATTAATCCTTCTATATATACAATTCTTGTTGTCTGTCTATATTCATTTACAACTACTATTAGTTACATTGGTCACATTATACGTTTTACTTCAACCCACTCCAACAGACCCTTGAGCAGAGTAAGAGACTAGACATCCTGGCCAGGAGGACAGGGGAAGCCCCTTTTACACGGCTCTTCCTTCAGGGAGGTGCGTTTCCTTTAAACTGGGTGTATTCCTGCACAATGACAGTATTTTATTTGTTTATCACAGTATTTATAGTACTGCCAGCATTAAGAAAAATTCTTGAGTCATTTCTAGGTAGGGAAACACCCAGTGACTGAAAACTGAGAAAGTGAAACTTAGCTCGGTTCTTTGGCCCAAGGGAGCCATGGCTGCTGCTGAGAGACCTGTAAAGGATCTCTGCGATGAAGCCACTTGCTCCATCTGCCTGGAGTATTTCAAGGATCCAGTGACCATCCCAGAGTGTGGGCACAACTTCTGCCGAGGCTGCCTGATCCAGTGCTGGGGGGAATCGGAGGCAGAGGCTTCCTGCCCTCAGTGCAGAAGAGTTGTCCAGCAAAATAATCTCATCCCCAACCGGCAACTGGCTAACTTTGTGGAAATAACCAAGAGGTTCAGTCTCCAAAGCGGGGAGGAGGAACAAGGAAAGGGGAGAGTTTGTCAGAAGCACCAGGAGCCCCTGAAGCTTTTTTGTAAGGAGGAAGAAACCCCCATCTGCGTGGTGTGTGACAGGTCCAAGGAGCACAGACATCATGAGGTGATCCCTCTGGAGGAGGCTTCTCAAGAGTACAAGGTAGGAAATCACTCGGGATCTTGGTGGGGTAAAGAGCTGTGCGTTTTCTTGGGAGGTTTTCTGTAATTCTTAGGTTCAACTAGACGTGACATTAACACACCCTCCAAGTGTCCCTATTTTCTAGGGACAGTCCCGGATTTACAGAAGCCATCCCAGTATCTGATTTGATCCTGGAGTGTCCTTTTTCCTTAGGACATCCCTATTTTCATTAGAAAATGGATTTTTCTGCTTTGTCCTGGATCTTAGGCAAGTGAGAAAGGAAAACGCTCAACAACCTTTTGGGTGTCCTGGTTTTTTAAATATGGCATTCCTACTGGAGGGTATGCAAAAATTTCCTGGAAGCTTGTTTAAATAGCCATTGAGACGCTTGGGGTCTCATGGGAGGTGGGTGGCACAAGTGTAATTCTTTTCTCTGTGTGCCAAAGGGGGCTTCACTTGAAATCCATATGAGGGTGCCAAAATACCAAAGATTACCAAAGTCCGTCCCTGATGCCATCCACTATTACAAAAGCTGCCCCAAGTCTTGTGAAGTTTTGCCTGGCTGCCCCCACACTTGCAATGAAGACTCTTGAGGCAAAGTGATGGTAGAAAAAGGTTTATATTTTTTAACAAGTCAAAAATCTGCAAACCAAATTTAGAATTTGCAGGCAGGCCTAAAACTACGCACACATTTGTGGTTTAAAATGCAGTGACATCACTTCAAATCACATTTGCACTTTGCTAGGCTCAGCTGGTGGAACTAGGAACCAGAGTGGGACCTGACTGCCTGGGCGTAGCAGGCTAGAGCGGGGAGAAGCACACTTTTTAATGAGAACTCTCCTCTGTGTTATTATGAATAAAAACAAAATTCTGATTTTGTTTCAGGTGCATCTTTTTAAAAGGCCTTTTACTTTCTTTTTTTTAAAAAAACCACTACACTTGTTTTTCTACACTAGCGCAAATATGCTGTTTTTCAATGTAATAATAACAATTCAAAGTAAAAGTAACAATAATGAAATGAAACTTCACAAAAGAGCCTTCCTTTTAAAAATGTCCATTTAGAAACCTGAGGGATAACCCAGTTTTCGGGAGTGGGGGCACAGCTAAGCCTTAAGACTCTTAATTTCAGGGTCGTAGGCTCAAGCCCCATGTTGGGCAAAAGATTCCTGCTTTTCAGGGGATTGGACTAAATGATGATGATGATGATGATGATGATGATGATGATGATTTACACCCTGCCCATCTGGCTGGGTTTCCCCACACACTCTGGGTGGCTTAAAGGTAAAGGTAAAGGACCCCTGACGGTTAAGTCCAGTCGCGAACGACTCTGGGGTTGTGGCGCTCATCTCGCTTTATTGGCAGAGGGAGCCGGCGTTTGTCTGCAGACAGTTTTTCCGGGTCATGTGGCTAGCATGACTAAGCTGCTTCTGGCGAACCAGAGCAGCGCACAGAAACGCCATTTACCTTCCCGCCGGAGCGGTAACTATTTATCTACTTGCACCTTGATGTGATTTCGAACTGCTAGGTTGCGAGGAGCTAGGACCGAGCAACAGGAGATCACCCCATCACGGAGTTTGAACTGCTGACCTTCCAATCGATAAGCCCTAGGCTCAGTAGTTTAGACCACAGCACCACCTACGTCCCTATATAAAAGCATAGTAAAACATCAAACTTTAAAAACTTCCCAATACAGGGCTGTCCTCAGAAGTCTTTTAAGTTATGTAGTTCTTTATCTCCTTGATGGGAGGGTGTTCCGCAGGGAGAGTGGAACCAGCAGAAGACCCTCGGAGGAGGACCTCAGTCTGGGCTGAATGATGGGGTTGGAGATGCTCTTTCAGGTGTACTGGGCTGAGGCCATTTAGGGCTTTAAAGGTCAGCACCAACACTGAATTGTGCTTGGAAACATGGGAGCCACTGAAGATCCTTTAGGATCTTACATGGTCTTGGCGGCCACTCCCAGTCATCAGTCTAGCTGGATTAGTTGTAGTTTTCGAGTCACCTTCAAAGGTAGCCCCAAGTAGTGTGCATTGCAGTAGTCTAAGCGGGAGATAACCAGGGTATGCACCACTCTGGCAAGACAGTGCACAGGCAGGTAGGGTCTCAGCTGGCGTACCACATGGAGCTGGTAGACAGCTGCCCTGGACACAGAATTGACCTGTGTCTCCATGGACAGCAGTGAGTCCAAAATTACTCCCAAGCTGTGCACCTGGCCCTTCAGGGGCACTGTTACCCCACACCCACCTGCCCCCTTTCCCCCCAAAACAGTACTTCTTAATCCTTGTGGTCTCTTCCAACTACAGTTCTATGATTCTATGAATCTCCCAGAGCAAGTGTCAGAAACTAAAATCTACCAGAGAGATTATCAGTTAAAAAACTAAGAGCAGAGCCACTGGGCAATAGAATGGAGGATAGTGCTTGACTTCTCTTTCTCTCTCTTTCTCAGTCTTAGTCACAATCTGAGATTTTGTTTTCTCTTTAGGGAATAATCGGTAACTGCTTGGAGATTCTGAGGAAAGAGAGAGAAACAATTCTGGAATATGACGCATACCTGGAGAAGGAAAGCCAAGACCTCCTTGTAAGTGTCACTATTGTTAATAGGAAGGGAACAACTACTTGACGAATCAAGTAGGGGCTGAGGAGGGATGGGGAAATCTACTTTTGTTTCTCTCAGTTTCGTATATTTCTGTCTTAAATTCACTTCTCCACATCTCCCCTTTACTTATTATTTTTTTAAGTCCTCATGAAAATCCATCAGTATTTTAGTACCATGTTCTGCTAATATACATATTTTTACGTGAGGCTTTGCCCAGTATACACATATTTTGCAAAGCAGTATCCCCTAATTTCTTTTTCTATGCCATTACCTTAATAAATACATTTTCATGCACACTTTAACCTTAGTATCTGCATTTTTGTAGGCATTACCTGGCTGGAGAACTCAGAAAAAGTACATTTCAAAAGATTGCTGAGTTTCTCTGTGCATGGTTGTTGTAGTTTTTTTTGGTTTTTTTTTTTGGAAAGTGCTAATGAGTTAATTTTGCATGTGAAACCAAGCTGAACTGAATCTTTCCCCATGTGGCAGCCTACATCCACAGAACAGTTGCAACATCCTGATTTGCCATAAGGGTTCTTAAAGAAATGTCTCTAAATGTGCCCTATTTTAAATCTCTAGGCAACTCAAGCTGACTCAAGGCTTTAAAGTCAACAGAGGGATGCACAGGCTAGCTCTGTCCCCCTTCTCCTGTTTCTCTTGGCTTCCTACTCACAGAAGTGGCCCCTGTGGACTGCTTCTTGTCCATGGAGGATCTCTGAATATCTTAGAAACTGAATTTTGCCAGGTCCAAAATGTACCGGGAACCTCCACAAATAGAAAAAAGCTCATTGCTTTAGGCTGTCACCTTCCACAAGATGGAAGACAACAGAAATGACAACAGATAAGGCAGAGTTGGTGTGTTCATCCCTGCTCCCTCCCCACCATGTTTAATTTAAAGCCTGAAGAAGAGAGCTTCCTTAAGCACCGAGTGCTCGTCCACACTTCCACTTGTCCGAGCAGTTTTACCCTTTACCTGCTCCTTTGCCAGGGAAAACCCACTGTTTAGTTCTCAGTTGGAATGAACATCAATCCAGAGAAAACCCATATTGCTGTTTGCTCCAACTGAGTGCTAAGGAGCATTTTTCCCTGGGTGAAAACAGCAGAATAAGAAGAAGTGGGGCTAAGCCCTGAGTGTTGGTTTCATGCTTTTGAAAAAATGGAAATGCCCCCTCTCTCATAACTCTCTGCCTGATGTTGTAAAGACTGGACATATTCCAGATTCCGGCCTCCTCTTTTCTTCTTTCTATCTGCTTCTTGCAGAAATTAACAGAAACTGAGAGGCAGAAGACAGTGGAGAAATTCAGACAACTGCGCCAAATTATGGAAAAACAAGAAAAATGTCTGCTGGATGAGATAGAAGAGATGGAGAAGGAGATTGCAATGAGATGGGATGAGCACCTGGCCACACTCTTTGGAAATATCTCCTCTCTTGAAAGTATCATCGAGGAAATGGAGGAGAAGC